TTTTGTCTTTTTGAGACAGGGCCCCACTCTGCAGTTCAGGCTGACCTTGAGCTCACTTTGTAGCCCAGGCTGGTCTGAATTTGCAGCGATCCTCCTGCCACAGCCTCCCAAGTGCTGGGATTACAGGCATGCACCACCACCCCTGGCTCCCACAGCCTCCCAAGTGCTGGGATTACAGGCATGCACCACCACCCCTGGCTCCCACAGCCTCCCAAGTGCTGGAATTACAGGCGTTTGCCACCACGCCCGGCTCATGACATTATATTTTTAACCCAGACCTTTCCTCTGGATGTCACTGTGAGCTCCCTTATTTCATGGACAGTCCTTTCTGCTGGCTTAGGGGAATTCTTTATCATAGCCACACTCCCCTCCTTGGTTCCACAGCTTGGAGAAAGCACCACCTTTTACTCAGTTACGCAAATCAGAAATCTGTGCAGGCGCCTTTAGCTTCTCTTTTCCTCTCTGAGCTACGTTAAAGTTCCAGTTATTTATCACCAAAATGCCTCTTACACTTTCCATGTTTTATAACAATAACTGAAAGCAAGCTGCCATTTTTCCTTGAACGCAGTTAGGATTTGAGGTTCTTGCGTTTGTTTTTAGTGAGAATAGATCGACTTGAGGAAGGTGTTGAGGAAGGTGTTGCATACTCATATGCAAGTGAACAAGAAGGATTCATTGATACCCCTTTTTAAATTAGGCCAGCTCTCACTCCATCTTACGGTGTTTTTACTAAAGTATTCATGAATAGTCATTGAAAATCTGTTGACAGTCTTTATGGACCATATAGTGAATCTGATGCAGGAGTCTTAACTTGGATGAAAAGCTTCCAGGGGAAGAAAAATTCTTGGCCGAGAGCAAAACCATGACCTATAAAGAAGTCACATATTACACTAAATAGAAATGGTGACCAGGAGGTAAATAGTGCAGTGATGCTTCACTCCCGTGTGAGATTACAATGCAGAACAAGCAGGGAAGTTTCATGAAAATGTATTTTGTGTGTATAAAACATACTTTGAATCCATCAGTTATAGATACAGGCACGGGTTTTTAAGACATTCAGAACATTATTTTCCTGATTTCTTCACATTCGCAGCATAAGTGGAACTTAACTTTTGACCTGATAACACACAGCAGTGTGCCTGGGTAAGATGTGATTACCCCACGTTTTGTGAAGTTGTGTGTTACCCCTTTGTTCTCTGCCATGGTCTCCCCTGCAAAATGTTCGTTGCACTTCAGCATTTTGAAACCTAAATTGTTAAATAACTTAAAGCAGTATTTAATATTGTAAGATGCATGTAAATCAGTCAAATGAATCAGCTACGTGCCAAAGTGTTCTTTTTTTTTTTCTCCATGCTTCAGATTTTAACGTTATGGCAGGGAGGCATCAGAATCGCAGTTTTCCTCTCCCTGGAGTACAGTCTCCTGGTCAAATACACGCTTTTGGAAATTGTACAGACAGTGACACTTTGGACGAGGATGCTGAAGTGTATGAGCTTCGACCCAGAGGCAAAGAGAAAATCCGAAGAAGTACATCGAGAGATAGACTTGATGACATTATCCTACTAACAAAAGACATACAGGAAGGAGACACTTTAAATGCAATAGCCCTTCAGTACTGTTGTACGGTAAGTTTAGTTGTACATAATGTAGTGCAGAATAAATCATTTGTTCATTAGCCCAGCCCAAACTGAAATAAATTCCATGTGGTTTTATCTTTTCTTTTTTTCCCCCTCTATGTAGAAATCTGTATGATGTCAATGGATACTAATTTTTCGAAATTTTAAGTAAATATCTCAATTTCTGTTCATCTCTAAATCTGTTACCTTCAGTATTGAAAAATACCCAAATATATTCTCTTATTCATGTAGTAAGGGAATGTAAAAATATATAAAGAAAAGTGTTTCTCTGCCCCAGGTCCCTCGATATCCGATGCTATCACTTTTGTGCATTTTCTTCTGTAGCTTTGTTTGTGCCTATAGATATTTACATATATTTATAGATACATACTTGGGGTGTGGTTATTTTTCTTTTTAAAACTGATATATACTATCGGTTTTACTCTGCAACTTGCAGTTTTCATTTCTTTAATATATCATGGACAGCTCTCATAAACATCCCTCAAAACCTTATAGATTCTAACTTTCTAAATTAGCTATATAATAATATATGGACATACCAAATTTATTAAGCTATTCCTCTATTTATGACTAGTCAGAATTGTTTGTATTTTATATTGTTCAGTGACTTTCATTACAACCGTAGTTTAAAAGGTGGTATCTACTTTCTTCTGAGTAATTCCCAAAAGGAAAGGCATTTAAAAAAATTGATACTAAACTCTGTTTGAATTCATGTCCATCCTGGGTCCTTAGCAGGATATGTTGTCAGGTAAACATACTGATATTTAAGCTGATTTAACACACTGGTTTTCTGACTTACTGTTCTCATACTCTCAAACTAGTAGAATTTAAAATTTATCTACTATCTCCTTGTATATTTCTAGGAGAACTTTTAAATTCTCCCAGTGGCTCAAAATAGTTAATAAAGAATGTAATTTTCAGAATGTTGTCAGAATTGACATTTAAAAATAGGACCGTTAGACTACTCCTTAAATGTGTCTGTGGAATTCTAAATACTGCTAGAGTTATTGCCTGGACTTCTCAATTAAAATGTGTATGTGGGGGCTGGGAATTTAGCTCAGTGGCAAAGCGCCTGCCTGGCAAGCGCAAGGT